GCGGCTGTGGGTGTATCGGGGTGTCCCTATGCCTGCCTCCCCTAACGGCGCCCGCTGTGTCCCCCGCAGACCGTGACGCCATGGGCAACGCGGAGAGCCAGAGCGTGGAGCACGCCTTCTACGGGGACAAGCAGCCGGGGCTGGGCCGCAAGCACACGTCGCGCTCGCTGCGCCTCTCCGGCAAGGCCTCGCGCCGCACGCGCCACGCCTCCTCGGGCAAGGTCATCCACCGCAACTCCGAGGTGAGCACGCGCTCCAGCAGCACGCCCAGCATCCCGCAGTCGCTGGCCGAGAACGGTCTGGAGCCCTTCGCCCCCGAGGCCAACCTGGAGGACTTCGGCAGCGCCATGTGGGTGGAGCGCGTGGACATGGGCCTGCGGCCCGTGTCCTACCACACGGACTCGTCGGTGACGCCCAGCGTGGACAGCAGCACGGTGCTGACGGCCGCCTCCGTGCACAGCGTGCCCGACTCGGAGGAGAGCCGGCTCTACGGGGACGAGCCGCCCTTCCTGGGCGAGGGCGATGGCCGGGCGCTGCGCTACGCGGCCAACGGCAGCGCCTTCATGGACGCGGCCAGCTTCAAGAAGAAGCGCTCCAAGTCGGCCGACATCTGGCGCGAGGACAGCCTGGAGTTCTCGCTGTCCGACCTCAGCCAGGAGCACCTGACCAGCAACGAGGAGATCCTGGGCCTGGCCGAGGAGAAGGACGCCGAGGCCGCGCAGGGCCCGGAGGCCGGCGGCAGCCCCCAGCCCCTGGCTGCCTGCCAGCGGGCCAACTCCATGAGCGACCTGTATTCCCCCAAAACCCCCGGCGCCGCCATCAACGGCGGCCCCCGAAACGCCTTCGGAGGGTACTGCCGGAACCTGGTGTCCGACATCCCGGAGCTCGGGAGCCATAAGATGGCATCGGTGACCGCCGAGGACGCGCCTTCCTCCTACAGTAACTACAACACGCTGCCCTGCAGGAAATCCCACTGCCTTTCCGAAGGGGCCACCAACCCCCAGATGAGCCACAGCAGCAGCATGCAAGGCAGAAGGGCGAAAACCACCCAGGTAAGGCAGTTTTCTTCTGTCATTTGGCATTTGCTGGGCTGGGTCTACAGATGAAGGTTTTCGGGGTTCTCCCGGGCTGTGTTGCCCTTCAACACCCCCTTTCCAAGCAGAAAGCTGTTTCCAGGAGAGAGCTGAACTAGCCAGTCTCCAGAGCTGGCTCAATTCCATCACTGTCCCTTCCTTATCTGCAGCTCTCCTTGGACCTTTTCCACTCCTCACTGCCTCTGGGACAGGGAAATCTGCATTTGCCAGCAGAAGATTTCCCTGCGTGTTTTGCAGTGCTGACGGTTCCTTTTTTTGCAGGGTAGCTGCCAAAACTGATCACTCCTCTGCAGAGCTGTGTCCCCTCTTCTGCCCTCCCCACCTTGTCACCCTCCCCTGCCTACAGTTGTGGCTGGAGGCAAAGAAAAAAACCTCTCAGTGTTTCTCTCCATGCTGAACACTCACTGGGCTGAAATTTCACTCTTCTAATTAGCTGATGTTCATGTCTGTGCAAAACATCTCCCCAAAACAGCACTGGCACTGCCAGGCCTGCTGTAAACCAAGAAGTGATGGGGCATGGAGATGTGTGGAGAGGATGCTGATTCTCTGAGCCAGGGCCAGCGCAGAGTCGAGAGGAGCTTTGCTGTCAGGTGCCCCTCCTGCACTCTGGGCTTTGCTACATGTTGCCCTGCTTTTCCCTGTCCTGTCTGATGGAGTTCCTGCCTCAGGCTGCTGGCAGTGCTTCTGCTGGCAGTTCAGTGGCAGATGACCTGTAGAGAGGGGCAGAAAGGAGTTCCAAACCCTGCCCTCGTCTCCCCGCCGTGCCTGGCACGTGCTTTGTGGGCAGATTGTGCTCAGTTGGAGTCGGTTTGGATCTTGTGTGAGCAGAGCTCCAGCTGCCTGCTGGAAGAGCTGGCAGCGGTGTTTTGCTGTTCCCTAGAAGTGGCTCAAAAACACGGCCTGGGGACACGGAGCAGGGATAGGGCAGGGCTGCTCCCCTGCCTGGCTGGCCCCGTGCTGTGCCTGACCCAGAGACGGGGGAGAGCTGCACACTGGTCAAGGCCAGAGCATGTCCTGCTGCTCCCTGAGCTCTTCTGAGATCCAGGACTGGGCAGCAAACTCCAGGCAGGCTGTGCAGGGCTCAGGGGAGGCTCCAGGAGCCTGTGCCCCATCCGCTGGCACTGACCCATGGGAGCTGCTGGGATGGGGCTGCTCAGGGACTCCCTGGCTGTGCTCGGTCTGTGGAGATGAGCTGCTGCTAAATATAAAACTGATGTGCTGAAACAGATGCTGCAGCATCCCACAACAACAGCTTTGTTCTTCAAAATCAGCTCTTTGCTCTCAGAGGTGAAAAGCCTCTGGTTTTTCACTGCCTGCACCGGCACAGGATAAAAACCTAGAGAACAACAACAAGCTAAAAAGAAAAGAGATGAGTTTTGGCAGCCTCGGACCTAACAGCTTTCCTGAAGATTGTTGGGTGCAACTGCTGCCTGCAGCCTGCTTTCAAGTGTATTTAAGGAAAAAGAGAATAGAGTCAGTCATGAACAGCCAAGCATTTGTTTTTCTTCTTGGTGCCTATCCTGGCATTCAGAAGATTCCTCTGAGGCATGTAGTGAAAGTGTGGAATTTAAGTAGTATTTTGTGAGGCCTCAGCCATACCCAGGGAAATTATTTCGTGAGGCTGGTTTCACTAGATGTATCTCCCGAGACTGGAGATGATGGCTGTAAGGAGTCTTAGCAGTGATTATTACCATGGATAAATTCAACAAAATTAAAGCTTTGCAAAGGTCAAAATTCCTCCTCCCAAGTCTTTAATCCCAGCAGCATCCTGTAAGTATAAGATAGTTGTCAGAAATGAAGTCATGTCAGCCCCAGCCTAGCCTGAGCAAGCTTAGGGAAATGACTGCCATTATGTGTTTAAAAAGGCAGAAATGAAGTCTCAATTTGCACACAAAGTGAAAGGAGTTCCTTGGTGAGCCCGATGAGGTGGCTTTGGATGGGCTGAGGGGAGGGAACTGACCAATCTGTGTCTGCAGCAGGTCCCCAGGCAGCAGTGTCTCACACTTTGCTCCTCTTTCCTTGACACTGCTGACGTGGGGTGTGCTGGGAGCTGAGGTGTGGAGCTGAGCCCATGTCACTGCCCTGCTCTTACTGTGCTCCTTGGCACTCTGCTGGCCTGTGCCAGCTGGCACTTGGGCACCTTTTGGGCAGTTTTGTTTCCCTCCGCCCTCGCTGTCTTTCAGCACTTTTATCTTTATACTCTTGATGATCCCCGTGTCCTGGAGCCTGCCATGTGTGTCCTCATGCTGGAAAACACTTCCTGCTATAAATCTGTGTTTTGACCAGCCTTTTAAACTGCTTCCCCCATCCCAATCCCACAAAATAATTGTCACATCTTAGGGCCCTGAGGGGACACACAAGGGTGACCCAGGGCTGAGTGTAATGGGGTGTTGGACACTGTTTTCCCTCTTGGCCTTGGGGCCAGTGAGGTGTCACTGCTCCGTGGAGTCACCTAATGGATTCTCCTAGCCAGGAATGAAGTTTCTGCCCAGATCCTTGCTGTCAGTCCTCACAAGACTGGAGTTGTGTTTGCCAGTGGTTTGGGGTTTTATCCCACTTTTTGGAAAGCTGTAGCTGGGGTATACATCTGTTTCTTTAGTCTTAGCTGCCCTGGAAGGGCCTGATGATCACTGGTGGGTGACTTTTGACTAGTTTAGTTCCTAAGGGGGTCACTGCCAGAAGGGTGGCTCTGAGCCCACAGCAACAGCCTCGTGCCCTGGTGTTTAGTTCCTGAATCCAGCCACCATTCCATTGCATGCTCAGCTGTGTTCATGAACACCATCATGGTTTCTCTAAGTTAAATTTACTGCAGCTTTCTGTGCTCTGCTGACCAGTGCTCCTGGAAAAATGTATCCCAGAAAGAAGGTGCCAGAATCATGGCTGCACATGTTTTGTTCCAATGCCTTATCCACGGGTTCTTTGCAAGGACATAGTATACATTAAAGGGAAAAACACCAACACACCAAAAACAGGGAAGAAAAGCTCACCCTGTCCAAATTTAAACCCTAAATTGAACGGTGGGAGTCACTTTCCACTAATTGAAGAGAGCTTTTTCCCCATGGAGAGACAATTCTGTTCAATATGCACAAGTGATTAGTGCTCACAGGGTGCCTCTGGGGCACCCACGCAGCAGTTCTGCTTTTCCCAGCATTGTGCCATGAAGGGTTCAGCTCTGCCGAGCGAGACTTCCCGGAGAGCTCTGCTGGGATCATGTTTGGCTTTTGGAGCTGGTGTGGTGTAGGTGGAAAGGGCTTCATTGGCTGACATTTGCACCCATTTTTCCTGGAAGAGAGAAAGCACAGGTTGGATACAGCTTGTTCTGGCTGTGGGTTGTGGGATCCCCAGGATCCTGCAGCCTGTTTTGTGGGATCCAGATTTTGTTTAGCTGCCCTGTTGTGCCCTGTGGCAGCTAAACATCTGCCTGCAGGAGACTCCCTCCTCCTACTTCTCCTCCTGGTGGATGTTCAGGGACAAATGTACCCCATGCTAGCCTGCTCTTATGAGCCCTAATTGACATTTCAAGGTGGGAATTTGCCAGAGCAGCTGTGGCTGCCCCTGGATCCCTGACAGGGCCCAAGGCCAGGCTGGACATTTGGGTCTTGGAGAAGCCTGGGATGGTGGAAGGTGTCCCTGCCCATGGCAAGGGATGGAGCAAGATGAGATTTAAGGTTCCTCCCAACCCAAGCCTTCTGTGATTCTATGAATTAAGGGATGAAAACCTTGAGATGTGGTTTTGTGCCCCTTCCAAGCCTGTCTTGCCATCTCTTTATTCCATATTCCTTGTGGAGCTGAGTGGGGGAATGGAACAAACTTCCTGTCTGACTCACTTGGAAGCTGCGCCGGCTTCAGCGCCAGCCCCAGGCCATGTCCTTGGCATGTTAAATCCCCTTTTGTCCAATTTTCAAATTTATTACTATTTTCAGGCCTCTCTAGGTAACCTGCAGGAATCTGGGATCTCAGACCTTTTGAAAAAAATAATCCTACATAAAAATTTTTGCAGAATATGCAGGAGATGAAAAGGGGTTTTGCAGGAATTAGATCAGGATGTACAGAGAAACCAGTCTAGAATTAGACAATCTTTCCAGTTGATATTTTTTTTTTTTACTATCTCAGGGAATTTTATAACTGGTTATAGTGTTTCATTATGTTCTGTAGGATGGCTAAACTCCAGAGAGCTGATACTTGGTTTTAAGTTGTGTGAAACTTTCTCACAAAATCGTTTTGTGGCTTGAAGGATATAACCCCAAAATGGAAAAGAACTACACTGGGTCAGTCCCATGGAAGCACCATCCAGCCCAGATCTTGTTCCCCAGAGAGAGTATGGGGTGAAATTTCCTTCAGGGCATTTTTCCCAAAGCCAGCAGGTTAGAGACTGGAGTCTTCCTGTGCAAGGAATGCATCCAAAACCCTCGGGTTGACCTGTCCCCCATGGATTCTCTTTGCCGAAATCGTTTTCTGCTTCTGGCTTCCACTGCATCCTGTTCACTCTCTGCAGAGCACTTGTGGCCTTCCAGCCTGCTCCTCCAGCCCTCCTCAGCCATGCCTTTTCCAGGCAGAGCATCTTCAGCAGCTGAAGCTCTGCTCCTCTAAAGGAATTCTGACTGTAGTCTGGAAAGCCTGGCTATGTGCAGCCTAGGTATGATTCCTAATCAGATGGTTATGGACCTTTAATCTGAGCTGTTTGACTCCAGATGGAATCAAGGACATAAAGACAGAGTTGACAACGTTCAGTGATAATTCCTGGCACTCAGGTTAGTGAGTAGCTAAAGGCAGGGTGTTGATGGCTGGCAGCTGCAGTGTGGAGCTCACTGATTCCCGTCCCTTTCAGCCAGAGGTTGTTCGCAAGGTCTCAGATGTAGCCTGAGCCACGTTCCCAGACCCCCAAAGCTGGGAATGGGACCATTTGGCTCAGCTGGATCCCACTGAGGAGCAGTGGCCAGCTGCTCACCCTGCTGAGC